TTATCCTGTTGGAGAACCCACAACCTGTGACTTAGCCAAAGCTTTCTGACACTGGGCAATACATTTCACTCCAGAATTGCTAAATAGCCTTTAGATTTAATTGTGCACTGCACAGATTCAAGGCACCCCAGATGTATTGAAACAGCCCCAAAACATAAATGAGCCTCCTCCATGTTTTACAATAGGTATGGTGTTCTTTTCTATGAAAGTTTATATTTTTGTCCGAGAACGTAGAGTTGGTGTAACTTGCCAAAAATCTTTCAGTTTTGTCTCCTCTGTCCAAATGGGATTTTCCCAGAAGCACTGTGGTTTGTCAATATGCAGTTAACAAATTCTGGCTTGGCTTTTTTATGTTTTTGTTTCAGCAGTGTAGCCCTTCTTTTGAGCCCACTGTTGCTCAAAAAGTGAGGTACCTTGACCTTGGAGTTCACTTTGCATCTCTCTGGATGTTTCCCTTGGCTGTTTGTTTACAATTTTCTTCTGGTCAATCTAGTGTCAATGTTTCAATTACGGCCACGTCCAGGGAGCTTTGTCTTTGCTCCTGTGGATTTTAAAATAAGCGATATTATATGCAGCTGTAGTCATGGGAATACAAAGCTGCTCGGAGACGGCCTTACACCCTTTAACTTTGACATGCGGGTCTATCATTTTCTTTCTGATCTTCTCAGACAACTCTTTCCTTTGTTTTCTCTACTCCATGTTCATTGTGGTGCACATGATACCAAACAATAGAGTGGCTGCTTTTCTCCATATAAATGGGCCGACTGGCTGATTACAAGATTGAAGGCATGCGTGGCACTAATTATAGAAAACCATTAGTTTGAAACATCACTATGATATCGGTAATTACAATCTTTTCTAGGGGTACCAATAAGTTTGTACAGGCCATTTTAGAAAATCTTTGTAAAATAAGCAAAAATGTATGGCTTTCTTTTCTGACATACTAAAGTCATGCAGGTATATATTAGGCAATTACTTTTTTAATTTCATCACTTTTCAGGAGGAATGAAGTCTTGTTTACTTGAGCTACAACAAATGTGCCCATGCCTGTATCTATTATGTGCGTTTACATTGTTTTTAAGTGGATGAATTGACAAATTTAGCTCAGCATAGTTCAAATTTGCAATGTATTAGGCTTGGCATCTGATGTGGTTTTTCCCTAATAAGCTGGGTAGCAGATGTATATCTAACCATATGTGCTTCCAACACAACATAATGGACCTGAATAAGCACCTGCATGTTTCTTTTTTTTGCCAACACATAATTAATCACAGATGTTGTGCTAAAACACCGGTCTGGTGCATGGTAAAATGTGTGTTGCTCCAATGCAAATATGAAAACTTGAACAGCATTGTTATATGTGCTTGGAGTTTGACTTTGTCAGTTCTTACCTTCTGCTATAGTAGCTCTGGAGAACACCATTTGGATTAACTTTGTTTATGGGAACTAATTACTACATTTTAGAATGTTTACTCATCTACAGTTCAATCGAGGAGATGTGTGCAAGCATATATAGTCAGACTATCACAAAACACACTGGGGGGGAATTTATCAAAACTGGAGCAGACAAAATCTGGAGCAGCTGTGCATGGCAACCAATCAGCTTCTTTCTTCAGTTTGTTCAGTTAAGATTTGAAAATGAAAGAGAGAAGCTGGTTGCCATGCACAGCTGCTCCAGTTTTGATAAATTCCCTTCACCCCGTATTGTTTTTGACAGTGAAACAGATTTAATAAGGCAATGCAAAGTTCTAAGGAAGTGCAAAACATTCTAACCTATAACAGCCAATCGGATTTTACTTTCTGTACATTCACTCAGAACAATAAAATATTTGTTGATTTTGTGCTATGGCTTACTGCACTTTGAACATTGATTTTTGGCTGGTTCAGGAATTTAAAAAAAATGGCCACAAAGCTGCCTCTCCAAATGAAGAAAGTAGATACCTCTCTCACTGCCCACAACAAGAGATATCTTGCTCCCAAGTCGGGTTAGAAACCAACATTTGTTTGGGCATTTATTTTTCTGACAGGCTTGCTTTAAAGGTAAACTCTAGCTGCCAATGTGCATTTGGCCAGCTGCACAAACAGTTTCTATATACATGCTACAAAGATTTGCAATTCTGCTCAGCCTTTTTCGTAATTCAGGCAAACCTGTCAGAGAACACAGCCAGGCTGCTGAACAACCTTTTATCCACCACATTTAAGCAGTACAGCTTGGTCACCAACATACCCCCTAGCCTTTTAATTGACCATGAAGAAGCAGGAAAAAAAACAATTTTTATTCCTTTGATTGTTTCAATCAATACATAACTGCAGTAACTTGTTTTTTTTGTGGTTAACAAGTAAAATTATATTGCTATCACAGTGGTTTGCAGGGGCTGCAATTAAAGCACTGGGCTTGTTTATCAGTCATAACAAATAAAACATTTAAGGCTTTATGTAATTTGTCTCTTTCCCTATAATTTGTTCTGTAGTGTGTCATTTAATTCCTTACATATTGTGGAGGATGGGAGGTTTGTTTGGTTCCCCTATAATTTTTCTGTGCTGAGCTTGTAAAGAGTGCTGCAAAGCATAGATATAATAGGAGTGTGTTATTGTGTCTGCAAAGATCCAAACAAAACAGTATGAATGCTCCTTTATTGTGAGATCCGATTGAAGACAAGTGCATATAAACCTTGTATATATACTCTGCTGTTCAAAGATAAGTACAGATAAACCTTGTATATGTATCTTCTGATCTTCTACTGGACTAATTTTGTCAGTATGAGAGTAGGTGTACATGCAGCTCTTCCTAAGATGTAAAATTATTTAGAAACGCTGAATATTGCACTAAACAAAAGGCAGTAGAACATAAACCCAATGTAATCTGAAAAAAAAAAGAAATTCCTTTAGTGAAAAAGATATGTAGAGCTAGCTTATACATAGGGAAATATGACGCACAAGGCACCTGTGTATCTCCTGACATCACTGACTTGGTGGGCCGCCTGCAAATGTGCTTCCCTAAACACATTCTGACCTTTCTCATATGAGCAGTTCTTAATTGCCATGGCCAGGCAGCGTTTGATTAGTGATGAGCTTGGGCTTGGTGCAAATCTAGTTAACCTCAGTTCATCCTAGCTCAATCAAAACAGTGACCAACCCCTTGATTACTACTTACTCATGATTCACAATTAACTGGATTTGCACTTCAGATGTTGGATTTTTTTTCCTTTGCATTTTGCCATTCAAGTCAGTTGAAGAGAGTCAACCTAAAATGAAACACGGGTCGCTGCATACATTTTTCAGGTGTGTCTAGTGAAAGCAAGACTCTTTATTTTGTCTTATTTATCCCTTAGCAGTGCTAGTCATTTCTGTTGCACTTAAAGAGAATGTATAATTGACATTGTATGTTTTCTTTGGTTAGGTTTTCAGGTTAGCATGATAAAAACAAATGTGTGTGTGTATAATATACAGTGGTATATGTGTGTATGTGTGT